CGTGATACGGGCAAAGCACTTTTTTGCGTTCGAGCAGTATAACTATGCAATTGCACGTGTCGATCGCTTCAAAGCAAGTCAGACTCGCTTCTTTCTCGCTTTAGAAGCGAAGGGTTTGAGCGAATCGCCTTTGAAGATGCAAACCACTCGTGCTAGAAAAAATTTGCAGGGGCACCTAGCGGCTCAAACAGGCAGCAGTTTCTAAGAAATGTGCTTGATCAAAACAAAATCAAAGTTATACTTTTGTGAGAGAAATAGAGCGACTAACCCTAATAGACGATAAAAGTGTCCCAAATTGGATTGTTTAATTTAATTTTTTTTAAACTGTTACATCTTATCACAATTTTTTTTGGGTGCTGATGATATCAATTATTTTCTGATTAACTACTGCCTATTAGTATATACTAAACAAAACGGTGTAAATATTCAGCTAAACAATGAATCGAGTCGTTCATTTTTATAAACTGATTTCAAGAATAATTGCATTTTCCCATTGAATGAAAGGAAGCATCGTCTTGAGTACCTACTATGTAAATGTGATGCGGCTATCTGCCATCTATAAGGATATACCCCTAGTCGTTACTCTACACCACTGTCAGGGTTTTAAATATTCCTGCCATTTTCTTGCTAAGCGACTTTTATTTTGTAATAAAACCGTATATAGATATACACTTTTGTCTCGTCGAACTGGCGTCGTAAATGATATCAAAAGGCAGACTCAACTGACTTGACCATCAAAGCTGGTTTCTTGCAACTCTGATATGCTCGACTTTTTACTTATTCCTGACTAGTAATAAGAGTTCGAAGGTAATTAATTACGGATGTGAAGCAAACAAGTTGGTCGCGTTGTCGACTTGTCAGGATTCACGCTATTTCAGTTCTAAGCTTTTTATCTGACGATTAACATGTTACACGAGATGGAAAGTGGTTGTATGAAGGCAAATTCATCTTACTATTATCATTATTTCTGATCACCGTTGCTGCTTTTATATTTTATTTTTCAATTCAAATACTAACCAGTTCTTTTGTACTCATAAATTTTGCAAAAGAACAGAATATTGTTGAATAATGTGTCCTAAGAAATAATGTCCTAAGAAATAATCTCCTAAGAAATAACACAAAAAAATATATTTTTTTAAATTTTGGCTCATGGTTTGAGTTATCACTCAACCAACACCATACATAAGAAAGTGTTGAGTTTGGCGCCAAACGATGACTTATTTACTTTTTTTCTCTTTGAGTTTTGTGCATGTTTTCTTTTGGCTCGTCGCACTGATGGTGGAATCACATGTAGGATTTTCAGCTCTTCAGGTGCCTGAGAGTACGCATATAATGAACCCAAATCTCGTGAATGGAAGGCTACATCTTATAGACCAGTCCATAACATGAACCAAGAAAGTTTCGTTTTTGGATCATCATGAGATATTGTTTAGACTTTTTAAACCTGTCTGGTTTGGCACATCAGACACACTGAAAACTTTCTACCTTTAAGACTTTATAAGTTTGAAAACGGAAATTGCGAAAATTCAATCTTGCAAAGCAAAACCAGTTGTATGTGCCCGGAAAAGTATTGCTTTTATGAAAGTCATCAGGAATTTTTTGAGATTTTTTGAAATCTGATATTTTTTGCCAGTAAACAGCTTGGAAAACTTCTTCCGTTAAAATTTAAGTGTTGCAATGCCCAAACAGGTAAAAGCTATAAAAATAACAAAACTTTCTCGAAGAAAATCATTTGATTGAATCCGAAAAGTTTCAACTTCGGATCATGTTTGGTGATATTGTTGTAAATCTTTCAAAGTGGTTTTTCTTGGGTCAGAAAACTGACAACCTCTATTTTAAAAAATCACTTATTGAATACCGGAGGAGATAAAAGCTCACAAATAGCAATATCTAGAAAAACACTGCCAGTTGTATGCATCCGGAGCGTTTTGTTTTTATTGAATTTAGCAGGGATTTTTTGCAAGTTTTTGAATCTTTAATGCTAGAAAAATTTCGCGTTCAAAATTTAAGTGTTTCAATTTACGAATTTGTAGAAGAGAATAAGTTGATTGAATCCGGAAATCTCTTTTATTTTCATTATTTAATGTTCTACTACCTCCATACGCGCGTATTCTATAGACGATTTACATTCTTACAATTTTAGGGTTTCGTATTTTTTTAAAACTTACTTAACTAACTACTAAAATCAATTCATACTTGCTACGAAAAAAAAAATGAAATCGCTAATTTGAGCATTTTAATTACCGCAACTTAATCACAAAGAATGAGCAATAAACATGGTTCCTGGTCGTGATAGCAATTTTTTCTGTTTCTGCGGGATTGTTCGATTTAAAACTCTATGTGCTTGAAATGGTAATTTTGTTCAAAATTTTTTAACAAATTTTTCAAAGTGGTTTTTTTTCGGCCAGAAAACTGAAAAGTCTATCTAAAAAAATCACTTACTATTCCGGAAGAGATAAAAGCTCACAAATAGCAATATTCGTAAAGCACCGCAAGTTGAATGCATACGGAAAACTTTGTTCTTATGGAATGTATCAAGAATTTTTTGAGATATTTTGAAGTTTTAGGTAATATCAGAAAAATTATGCCGCTAAGATTAAAGTGTTTCAATTCCGCAATACGCAAATCTTGAAGAAGACAACATCTTGTAGTGCATAGCTGGCTGTATGAACCAGGAAAGTTTCACTTTTGGGTCATCATCAGGGATTTTTTTAGAAAATTTGAAAGTTGTTTGGCTTAGCACATCAAGCACACTGGAAACCTCATATCTTTAAGACTTCACATGTTGGGTACCGGAAAATGCAAAAACTCAGGAATGGCATCATCTTGTAAAGCAAAGCCAGTTGAATGTGCCCGGAAAGTTTCGGTTTTATGGAATTCATCACGGGATTTTTCAGACTTTTTAAAGCTGGTTGTTTTCTGCCATTAACCAGCTTGGAAAACTTCCCCAGTTAAAATTCAAATGTCGGTTTGCCCAAATAGGTATAAGATTTCAAAATCACACACTTTGTAGAAGAGAATCAGGTTAATTGAATCCGAAAAGTTTTAATTTCAGATCATATTTGGTAATTTGTTTACAAATTCTTCAAAGTGTTTTTTTTTTGGGTCAGATAAATGGAAAACATCTGTTTTTAATAATTTACCTATTGAATACCGGAAGAGATGAAAACTCACAAATAACAACATCTTGTAGATGAACGTCCAGTAATATGGACTCGGACAGTTTCGTTTTTAGATCATCATCACGGATTTTTTTTGAATTTTCTGAAGCGGTTTGGTTTAGCATAACAAGCACACTAGAAAATTGCACTATTTAAAACTTCATATTGGGGATGGGAGAAAAACATCGATGCTTCGCAAACATCGATGTAATTCGTTCGATGTTCGACATTTATACCATCGATGTTAGATCCTGAAATGAAAATATCGGAGATTTGATGTTGATACTAGATAGAAACATTTTCTGCGAACTCTTTGATAGTGCCGATACAAACGATACCGGAGCATAGCGGCCCATTTCCAGGGATTTTTGGCGAGTTTTTCAATCTTTAATGGTAGAAAAATTTCACCTTTAAGATTTAAGTGTTTCAATTGCCGAATTTGTAGAAGAGAATAAGTTGATTGAATTCGTAAATCTCTTTTATTTTCATTAATCAATGTTCTACTATTTCCATTGCTTCCATACGCGCGTATTCTATTGACGATTCTTACGATTTTAGCGCTTCACATTTTTTTAAATCTAACTACTTCAAATCATACTTGCTACTAAAAAAATTAAATCACATTTTCTAATTTGAGCATTTTAATTACACAACGAATGAGCAATAAACATGGTTCCTGGTCGTGATGGCAATTTTTTCTGTTTCTGCGGCATTGTTTGATTTAAAACTCTATGTGCTTGAAATGGTAAGTTTGTTCAAATGGAAGTTAGTTGCCTGAGGCAGTTAGCAACAACGCATCGAACGTATAGGAACGCAACGAAAGTCCAAAGGGAAAGGAAACCGCGGAGAGAAGGAATTTGTGTGGTGTAGTGCGGCGTAAAAACGGCCTAAAGTCGATAGTTGCATTTGATGTACAACGAATATATGCGGATGCAGGGTTGGAATCAGTTGAGCAAAGAAAGCGACTTTAAAGTCCGAACCGACATTCAAAAACCAGTTTTCTTAGATTTCTTCACCATGCTAATTGAACCGTGATTTCAAAAACGCTCCTTGGCTTGCTTCATTCAGCTTATACTTATTCCTTTTGAATCGCTTGCTCTACCTGCAGAGATGATCGATTAAAAACGAAACAAAAAATTCTAAAAAGGCTAATAATAATGATCCGAATATCGTCAGAATTAGACAATGATTTTTGGAAAAAATGACTAAGTACATATTATCCAGCTGATGTTCTACCTATTTGAAAATGCCATTTCCAACCTAAATTGTTTCGCAAAGAAAGAAAAACGAGATATATTGCAAGTTTATTAACACTCAACACGTCTACTTCCACTGGCTAGATGAGTTGATACCAGGCTAATCAAGAATACATTTTTTTTAAATGTGGTGTTTTTTATATTGGTCGGTCTAGTGGCGAACGTGTTAATAAACTGACTAAACCATCAATAGAGTCAGCAACTTCTTGTACTGTCGAGAAAACCAAATGCCTTTAATACTTCTCTGACTACCAGTATACAGTACTTTTTGCGCCATTTTTGCATTTAATTACTGGGGATGGGAGTGTATATTTATGTAAATCCAGCAGGAGCGACGAAAATAATATACGGTCTTCACTTTTTCTCAGTTTTAATAAACGATGGCTTCCAGTGGCGTGGGAAAAATGCGCAAATTGTAAAACATACCCCGCATATCAATGCAGATATCGAGACTATATCGAGCCTGTTTAATATAGACACAATTAAAATCATCCGAAGCATCGCTTGAACTCGAATGGTGTATTTATTTGAATTTTAACTACCAATTTCTAGAAGTGAATTCATTCATGTTATTTAATTTTAGGTATTTAGAAAGCGAATTTCCCCGCACGACGAGCAATAACAGCGTGTTTCACATACCGAAGGAATATTTAAGAACGGGAGAAAATCAGGGACGCCAAGCCGAGCAAATAGCATTTCAGCGGCTAAAAAATCTATCCACATTGAACGTGTCCGACCTGTGGATTCTGTTTTTCCACAGTATATCCTATGGAGGATACTCGAACAGAAATCAAAGACTAGGCAAACTTATCATGAGAGAACATGATTTTGTTGTTTTTGTCAAGTACCAAGGTAGAAAAATGCTTTAATTTCCTACTCATTTTTCAAATTCTATCCTCCTTCGAACTTTTCACTAAGAAGCAGTTTTTGAGTAATTTAGTTCACTTGCCCTTAGAAGGCAAGCATTCATCATTTATTTTCTTATCCTCAGCAGTACCTACATACAGCAATGTTACTAAAACCAGATTTAGCATGATTTAAAATTAAGTTTAAGTACAATACTTTTTACAAGAAGCATCTAAAAATCATTTACAGGCAATGACGTAGAAGTCTGCCTTTTTGTTTGGTTTTTTATTTTGGTTAATTAATGAAAAAAGGTGATCATCTTTTTGTTTTTGTGTATCACATATCATTCATAATTAGTTTTTCTTAAAATCCGGAAATTCCAAACCTTTGCTTGTATTATAATAGCAAACAAATTCCTCAATAACCATCAACACTGTAAATGTTGCCGATTTTAGAGCGAAAACTTGTTAAGAAAAGAAAGTGCGAACGCAAATTTTCATGAAATTTTATGATGGCATGTTTTTTAATTAGTAAAAATAAAGGGGGTACAGTTTTTGAAAAAAACCGGAATTATTTTCAATGATCATATGTAATAAAGTAAGCATTTTTACATCGAACTCAAATCAGCACTGTTGTTTCTTTTAGGAAGAAATTTCGTTCTGTTTGTTGAAGTAAAATCGACCAACGATCGAGCTACAATTAAACATGGCATAGAAATGGTTGCCGACTCAAAAACTATTAAAAACCATAAAAGAACTGCTCAACATCAATTGCGTGATCATTTGGAAATTTTAAAAACTGACTTGGACTATGAAGTTAAAGACGAAATTCAATGTTACATTATGTGGCCATTTTTAGGTGAAAATACCACCGATCCGAAACAGCAGGTTGGTGTTTTCAAGTTTGCTTTTCGGTATAAATTCATCGATTCCCCTTGTCATGAGAACATGTGGCTTTTAGGAATGCAAATTAAATTATTAAATCTTACACCAAATACGTTTAAGGGCCGTTTTAGATTGTCAAAAGGTGGACCGAAGACGATAATCTGCACGTTTTCGAAAATACAATCGCAAGCCAAGAAGCCTTCAATAGTTGGTTTCTTCGAATCGTTGTTTCGCAGAAAAGCTGTTCTGATCAGATATTTGCACACTTGATATCCAGGTAAGATAGTTTTATTCTAAATTTACATACTATGAGTCACCAAAGCTTCAAGCAAATTATTAAACATTCTTTTGCAAAACAGTTCGCCTTTTAAGCGTTCATTTTTTTAAATAATTGGGGATTACGAAGTAGCCGCGAACATTTGTGATCGGAATAGTTATATCATGTGCGATAATCAAAACTAATCTGAAATATCTGTATAAATCATGAAAAAGCTGGTAAAACTAAGATTGTCTTTTCAACGTTTCCACAGAACGTCAATTAAATTTTAACTGTTTAATATTCAATGTTCCTCTGCTTAGTAAATCTATGGATGTATGAAAGACAAATAAAAATAAATATTATTGCCCATACAAATTTGAGACCGTACTCTTTGCCAGCTGTAAACGGTGCACATAACAAACAAAGCGACTGAGAAAAAAGGCAAAACACAGAGAGCAAATAGTTCTTTCTAAGATGGACATTAATGTGCCCAGAAAGGCTGCAGCATAACATTCCTTCGTTTAGCAATTCCTCTAAGTACCCAGTAAAAATAAATTACTATTAGGTACTACAATCCTTAGCGACGAGTTTTAAATGACGTTTAAAAGCTTTAGTAGCTTTTCGTGGAAGAAGAAAAAGCTCGGTAAATGCTAGAAGAAGCGGTATACTCCAAACAAATACAGAACCACATTCATTATCGAACTGTTTAAGATGACTATAAAAGTTAATTTGACGTCTATAGGTGATTCTGGAAAGATGCAGGCTATAGTTTTTAGAGAACAGGCAACGGGAATTTATGGCTCCCGGTTAGGGCAAAGAGCCTTTATAAACGCACTTAGTGCGTTTAAAAAGACTAAATGAATACTAAGTTAAATAATATTTGATCCCATCGTCAATGGTTTTATTACTTAAATTTTTGCTTGCAGCTTTGAATGTCTAATTAATTAAACACGTTAATTGATAAGTGATGAAACCGCAAGTAGCTGAACAAAAATTGAAAATTTTAACATTTAATACACTGGATTTATTTAATACAATTTATTTTTAAATACAAGAAAATAATGATTACTTGAATCACAGTATCAAGTTGTTCAAGAGGGTTTTTATCTTTGATGGACTTTTGGGAAAGTTTTACTTTTGATGTTAAATCTCGCTTTTATTAAGATTAAGAACAGGAAAATATTCTAACTTTTGGAGACGTACTGAATTATTTTGCGATTAATTGCGATATCTGCTCTATTCTGTCTTATTTTGGGTCTATTATACAAGATATATTCTGCATTCTTCTGTATTAGTGAACTTTTTAGGTTCAGAAACAGCAGTTAGCTCAATAGCTTGACAAACATGGACCTAAGGTTTCTGGCTCTAAGATTTTTGGCTTATTTGAATTATTTTCATTCCAAATAACTGCGGAATCCAAAGAATAAACACACTGGATCTAGGCAGAATTCGATTATGTACTTTTTTTAAATATGCTTCTAATAAATGTAAAATAACATAAATATTACGATCGCTAAAGTATATAATTGGACACCAAACTCTGGTAAATTGCATTTGCAGTTCTTTATTGACTAGAATCGATACTTTACCGTAACAAATTGCATCTTGAACACGAATGATCGATATTGAAACGTCCATTTTTCTTCGTTGGCATCTGCTGAAAAATCATGCGAAAAAACCAAATACACCACAAATTTTTGGTCTACTTAAGTACTGAAGGAATCAAAAATTGCTTGATACTCAGATGCCGTTTGCACTTTGAGAGCATCATTACACAGATAAGTTCTATATTGTTGAGGCGGATTCATTTCTTTAGAACTGCTTGTTGGGTATTCCAACTATTTTCAAAGAATAATAATCGAAATAAGAGCATTATTTATCAATCTGTAATAAAAGACGTGAGGAAATTCTGTCTTTTTTAAAGACAAAAATTTTCGAGGCAAAATACCCAATATTATAATAAAACAAGCAGTTTGTAAAAACATCATTTGGCAGCCGACTCAAAGAACTAAAAAAATATACTAAATATGAAAAAATCTAAATATTTATTAGGTTAATCTATAAACTTGATTATACATCATTTGTTTAAAAGATAATTATATTCTCAAATTATTGTGTACAGTTTACATAACGTGGTGCTAAGAGCTAAAGTTTATGATTGTAAATTACATGTGTACTGATGTTTGCTTGTTTTTCCAAATTATTTTTAATTGATACTTCTTGTTCCGTTTTTAATTTCAGGTACATCGTTCTGAGTTGTGGCATCTTTATGGATGAAATCGACAAAGATTTACTGGCGTTACTCACACAGGAACAAGTAAAGGTCCTAACGAGCCCCATTTGTCAAAAGGGCGGTGCTTTGGTAGGTATTAAATAGTATTAAAGCGTTTAAACTTGTAGTTTTAGTCAGGTATAGTATGAAAACTATGAAATAATGAACGAGGTATTTTAGTGTCTTATAGTCAAAAGTGTTCTATATTTAGGTGGTGCATGGAATTGCTGGAACCGGAAAAACGTTGCTCATTTTGAAGAAACTGCAACTGTTGCACCAAAATGGACAACTCAATGAAAAAAAACGAGCTCTGTACGTTTGCTATTGGCCAGGAATTAGGTAAAGAATAAAATATATACTGTAGCCTAAGAGTAGATACTTTTGGTACATTTAAATGTATGATAAAGTGTAGACAGTGTTAATAATTTAAGGAGGCGAAAATCTCTTGAGAGTATAATACGGTGTAATTTTGTAATTTATTCCAAATATAGGAACACGTTGAACACCTAGAATAATTTAGAAAAATGTAATACAATTCAGAGACCTGCATGCTAATATTGTTCCCAAAAAAGCAAGTGATTATCCAGTATTTAATGTAGTTTCTTTAGATAATTTATTTGTTAAATTCACATTAATTTTTTATTACACAAATTTGACGAAGCGAGAACATCTCTAGATAAATACAACACTATTAAACAAGGATTGTTACTCAGACAAAACTATTAATAAGAATATATGTCTATATCAAAGGAGAGAAAACGACAAAAAATAATACAGAAAAAGGTCTCAGATAAAGAAAAACTGTTCTTTTGAAATTTCGGCTTAAAACCTCGTAATTTCATCAATTTCACATCCAATCTTAAAATAGAATAAAGTATAGGTCAATCAGCATTGGCCCCTTTTTCTATTTTTGATTAAAACCCACCAATACCAAAAACTTCCGTCACAAAATATAAAATAAATTCGTTACATTTCAATATACCCAAGCAAAACGAAACATTAAAATTCCAATTGAAGCGTTAATTAAGATAAAAAAAATTCTTATAATACGTTGTGCAAACAATTGCTAATTGAATAGTGATTTTTAGATGCGAAGTAAAACATAAACTGAAAATTATGGGACTTGAGGATTACGTGGACACCACAAGATTCTATATAACATCGACATACTTTATGAAAAACAACAGGAATAAATACAAACATATTTTCATGGACGAAACCGAAGCAATCATAATAAGCTTTGGACCTGAAATAGTTCAAAACACCTTTTACAAGATTTACCAAGCCTATCATGATGGGAACTGTTTCAGAGAAAATTGCTCACTCTCAGGCTTAGAAGCTTTCCAGCAACATCCAATTTCCGCCTTAATAAAGCTGCACATTGAGGCGAAAATATCATGGGGCGAACTGTGGTTTATGGTTGACACAAATCAGGCATTCATTAGCCTGCCGAAAAATTCGCCTGAGATCTTGAAATCGCCGCACATTATCTTAAATAAGCTGATAAGATCAACAAGCCAAATTTGTAGCTTCTTTAGCATAGTGACTCAGCAGCCGGTACCTCTCAACATGCTCAACTTTCCCAAATCCCAGGAGGAACCGCCGATATTTTGGGTTCCCCGGAAACAAAACGTATCGCAATCAGTATGTGAGGTAATAGTGGACTTATGTGCAGCAAAGGGCATTAAACCAAGCGACATTTGCGTTATTCCTTTTCTTCAAAACGAAATGCTTTCAATCGAAGCTATTAACCTGCAGATTTGCCAGAAATTTGTAGAAAAGGCTTTCCGACCGGAATGCATTAGTGATGTCGAAGATTTCCTAACGGATAGAAAACCGTACGAATTTCTCCTCGCGTGGGCCTTGCGAGTTAAGGGACTGGAATTTAAAGTTGTCGTGATGGTCATAGATGAAGACCAATTCGATTATGACGATGTTGATGATAGGAAAAGAGTCTATGTTATCTGCTCTAGATCTACCTGCATGCTGATTGTGATTAGTGATGACCAAAACCGGAGAGAGATCGGCCTTAGTGAAATATCGGAAGAATACTGCTTCAATATTAAATTTGGATGCAATCGTGACTTGGAACAGACATAAAAAAATGAAGAAATAAACCCACTTGAAATATATACAAATTGTTTCACATTATTATGTTTCTAACACTTTTCCCATTTTTTAAACTGCAGCATCAATAATACCGGCCATCTGTACATTATTCTGATCTAAATGTTGGAAAATACAGTACATTTCTTACAAAAGTATTTATTAAACAAGAAAAGTAAAACTATAACTAAAAAACTTTAAATTTCAACTATTAGATCATTTATAGCTACCTATTTATATCATCTAATTTATATGTTACGCAATTGAATTCGGAATTTAAACATCTTCTCGTCCAAATTTAGATGAAAACTGCAAAAAATTGCAGTAGCATTGATGATTAGCCATTGGTAGATTCGGTGCTTTAAAACTAGTTTCATCGAACATAAAATTGACGAATTATGATGGAAAAATAAATAAATATCAAATTCCAAAAATTATTTAATAAAATAAAAATAAAATATAAAAGGTGTAACAAAGTTGAGAACAATTTACACATTACGTTATCCTAAGAAGTTCTACTATTAATTCAAAACAACAAAAATGACAACAAGCTAAGACAAAAAATTTATGTTACAGACAAATAGGTACTTGGACAAAACTGTGTTAATCCGCAAAGCGCCATTAATCTCTTTATAAGAAATTTCAATTCGCAAATTATTTTCAATCAATATAAAAAATGACTCATTGGTCATTGTCAAAGCGAGGAATATAATTAATAATAAAAATTCATTATAAAAAAAAACAAAGCACCTAAAATAAAAGTCGAAAAAAACTTTAATTGGGTAGTTTGGAATCTATTTTATGATAAGTACATACTTACAGTAAATTATTTATTTTCCTATTTGTATAAATAAAATAAAAATAATGATCTTATCGATTTCCATTTTCGTGCTTTTTGTAAAATGTTGTAGCATTCATAGTTTTCGCTCAAAAAAACTGTTTCGGTTGTCGTAAGCGACAATGTTCTTTTATAATAAATTAATAAATTAAATAAGAAATGACTGACTTGGTAAAAGTCTTAGACCGGTTTTGTCCGGTCCGAGTTTGGAAGCGGTTTCGTCCGAATTGCGTTTCTTAGAAAAAGACGTAGGGACAAATCCAAATTGCATAAAATCCAGCTAAGCACTCCCCCGATATTGCAAAAAATTTAAGTAACATAGTTTTAACATAGTTACTTGATATCAAAACTGTGAATACTAAACCATTTTATAAAGAGCAGAAAAATGGAGATGGAAAAGATTATTATTTGTACAAATAGGAAAATAAATCATTTTTAGACAAATTGAAAGTACCTACTTTATCAAGAAATAGATTCGGAACGTTTTTTTTTCGACAATATTTATTTTAGATGATTTTTATGTTTTAACATATGTTTTTATATCTCAGTATCTTTTTGATCATATGATCAAACATAATTTGATACATTTTTAAATGCATATCAAGTAAAATCGTCATTTATTTTAGGATTGGACAGGGCGAGGAAACAAGCTTATACAAATCGAATCATCGAGGATAACAAAGAAAATGATGAGGTAATTGAAGCAAGATCTAACAGTTATGAGCATCTGAGAATTTAGAGCAATTTCAGGTCAATTCCATGAATAAGCAAAAAAGTATAAAAGTCCGCTATTATTAACTTTGCAGTTGGAGTACGTAACACCGAAAACTAAGTAATCGTTTATTTGATTGAGAAGATTAATCGTGGTTTTCTTTGGTTTTATTTCAGAAAAGTTCAATATTGTTATTAGAGTTGTTCAGTTAAGTATAAAATTGCTTATGGTCTAAAAAACACCATAAATTCATTTATAATATTTTTCTCTATAGTAAACAAGGCAATAAGTTAAATAAAAGTAATTTTCGTTGACATAGTCAATTAGATTAGCTCTCATTATGTCCTTATAGATACATATACATCTTTCTTCAATAGATTAGTGGATTTATTCTGACATCCATAATCGTCGCATTTGTTACACCCTATATAATAACAGTTAAAACATAAATACAACTTTAAATTAATTATATGATTATTCAACAGTTAAAACAGTTTCAGACAGTTTCTTTCTGAATGTTGCACAGGCCATCTTTAAGCGATCATTTAGCGGAATTCCGCCATGAGCAGCTTTGCTTTTATAAACACCATTCTTAAGTTTAGTCAAAACAGTTTTGCTAGGAGTATTCAACCTATGTGCTTGTGATCTATGCACGTACAAGTTACGAACTGTTGAAAACTTTCTGTTGCACTTATAACAATTCAGCTTACCGGATACTAACGGCTCTTTTAAAGTGTCGTTTTCAGTCTTATTAGTTGGACTAGAAACAGTTAATTGCTTTGTTGGGGGGCGCGCATTTGAATTCCCCACTAAAAGAGGCTTATGAATCGGTTTAATTTTCACGCAATTTCTCCTTCTATGGTGCTCCAGTAAAAGTTTGGATGAAAACTCTGCTAAGCATGAAGAACACGACACTTTCTTGTGCACTTTCATGTGGTTAAACAGTGAAATTATTGAATCACAAATTCTCGGACAGTCTTTACATTTAAACGTTTTGCTGGCTAAATTCTTTGAAGGTATAACTACATTGGATTTACTAACACTCGGTCTTTGTACCGCTTTTTTCGGTGTAATTGTTATAATGCTAGTATTTTTTACTAAATTTGATTTAACATGAACTTTCTTATGGCTATTTAATAAAACAATATCATCAAACTGCTTCAGGCACCATAAACAATTAAAAGAACCTTGACTCTCAATGCATTTGTGTTTCTGTAGTAAAATAATATTTTTGAATGTTGATTTACATTTGTCACACTTGTGATTATACTCTACCTTCCGAAGCAAAGATTGCCGAGTAGATATACAATTTGGTTTAGAACTCAGTCGAGTCTTGTTCTTTAAACTATTTTCTAAATTGTGGTGAATTAAGTGAGTATTGAGACTATTTTGACTAGGGAACGTTTTCGGACAATGAGGGCAAATTTTTTCTTTTTTGTGTAGATCAATTAAATATATAGGTAATAATCTATTATCACACTGGGGTAATTGCGTACTTTCTTGCGAAACTTTATCAATGTTTGCCAAATCTTTACTTGAAGGATCTGCTACTTTTCTGTCAATTTTTCTATGTTTCCCTTTCCTTTTACGCTTGATCGGGGTTCTTTGAGATCTACTTCGCTTCAAGCTTAATTTGGCCTTATCAGCTGTACTTGTCTTTGAATCATCAAGTTCATCATCTGAATGTATTAGTATTACACTTTTATCTGACTCTGATGTTCTCCAAGAGCGTCGACTTTTTCTTCGCCCACTTGCCGCTTCATCTTCTGAATCCGATAATTCAACAATAGCAGTCACCTAAAGGAAAAAAAATGAAATTTTGTATTCGAGCAGTAAGACAATAGCGCGCTAGTAGAATTAAAATTGGAGAAATGTTAATCTGTGGGTGATGGTACATTATTTTAAAATCCCGCAATTGTGCATTGAACACTCAGATTAAACAGATGCATTTGTTTACGTTTTTCGATGGGAGCAACAATGGTTCAGTCATATCAAAAGTAGGTACCTATGAAAGCAGCTGCTTTGACCGGCTCGGTAATCAATTTGATATAGTAGCATCAACCACAAAATAGCAGGAAAACAGTAGCCAGGAATGTATTTAGTGTTATACTTGTTTAGTTTGTTATAAGCGACAAGCAAATGTCATTAAAATTAGGCCTGGATAACTCAGTGAATTTTCTTGAGTTGGCGTAATGCTGCGCAATTGGCTTGGTGCGCCAACTCTACGCACCGGCGCAGAAACTCGGTTCCGTTGTTAAGAAAACACGACTTAAATAATCAGTTAAAAAATGGGGTGACCTTTTTTTTAGTTGTTTGGACAAAGTGGTAAAACTTCACTCATAAAACCTGTTGATGACCTTTTTTTAGATGTTAAAATTAGTCTCGGGCTTCGTAAAGCTTTAATTCACTTTAATAAATGAGTTATAACTTATCAACTCAGAGAGCGGCAGCAACTCAAAAGCGCAACTCAACACAGTGTTACCCAGGCCTAATTAAAATAACCGAGTTGAAAATTTAAATTAAAAAATTGATAAGAATTTAAGGTGGCAATTAGGAGAAAACATAATGAAACATTCATCATGACAACACCGCAAATGAGGGGAATATGTTATACTAAAATTATAATAAAGAGAAGCGGCCTCGTTGGACTCGTAAATACAGCAATTTCTCGTGTTTTTGGTGAGTGATAGTCGTGATATGAATATTCTGTTACACTTAAAACAAATGGTGAGAAGCGGTTTCATTTGCAGGAAAATCGACCTAAATTTTCCTAACCTGTACTGTCTTGCACCATTATAAACAGCGACCAGTGGCGTAAGTTGTTTCGAATATACAGGGTGTTCGAATAATGCGCTAGGAAATTTGATTGTGATTCTACATGCTAAAATAATGGTAGTAAGTAATTTCATGCTTTTTTAACCTATTCTGCACGTTTCTTCGCGGATCAAATTGAAAATCGTACAAAGTTTCAGCTTAGTGCTTTCTGATAAAAATGATTTCTCCACTTTTCCACAAGATGAAACTTTACCTGAAAATGACATTTCTTTTTCCGCATAACTTTTTTGACACGCCAAGTATCGCAAAAGGAAATATTCGATTTTAAAAATAGCATAAAATTAGGCAAAAAATGTGCTTTTAACACGACTCGAAAAATATCACCGTTTAGGAGCAAATCGACATCAAAGTCGTGTGAACAGCACATTTTTTGTCTAGTATTTTCTAACCTACCCTATTTTCACACGTCCTTTTATTCGGCCGCTCCACGAAACCACTGGAAGACACAATTACTTCTTGAATTATAATTTCGCCTCGACTTCTTTCGACAATGGGTTTAATTTCCTGCTTCCTCGGTTGTCTGTGTTGTCGTATTGGTGCATGAGGTATAGTAGTTCTAAAAAAAACCATGCGCATTTAAAATCGAAAATATAGCAACGAGAAAAACAGCCAAACTTACTTGTTCAAAAAGTTGTGAAAATGTTTGGCTCGCAGGGCATCTTTATTTCGGGCAAATCGTTTATCAAAGAGATCAGTTTCAGGTACGCTGCTAGTGGTGTTACGCTTGAGACGATGCTCTTTTTGAGCTAAAACGGACGTTCGAAGAACACTTCGAGGATTGGCGAGTTTGGTCAATTTCGGCTCAGTTGGTACTTGTGACACAGACTTAGTTTTTTCCTCTGTGAAACAACCGCAATAGATTTATAAAAATATCAACTGAAAAACACAACTAGCTCACCTGCCAATGAGTTCATATTCTCCTTTTCTCGATATACAACATAGTATCTCAGTTTACTTTTGTTTTCTTTATCGGAAGTGACTGGATTTTTTAAAATATTACTTCTTTGAACACTAGAGTGTTGGCTAATTTGATCTAGATGGCGAGGTACGGTGTTTGTTTCAATTGGGACTTCACCTTCGGCAGACTCATCTTAAAATGTATTTACCAATTTAAAGAAGTTGCCGAAAAGCCAAAAATAATTAAACATTCATAAAGGGTTGTTATACATACAGTTCTCTATGTGTCTCTGTGTGTACTGTTCGGTATCACAATTCTGACTCAAATTGTCCGCCGCCTGTTGTATATATTCAACGGCATAATCCATGGGATTTTCATGATTTTCATATGCTTCACTATATTCGCATTCCGTTGGGGAGCTATAAAACAAAAGAAAAAATGTAGTGTAACATAAATACAGTTAAATTAGATACAAACTTACTCCTCAGGTTCCAATTCTGTCTCATATTGAACTTCAATCTGATTATGTTGGCCACAGAACAATTGCTGAACAAGGTCCTCATGAGTTTGTTGGCTGTCTATGTTCAAAAATTGTTGTTCTTGGTTTTCCTCTGGCGCTCCAAACTGATTTGATGTTTCAGCTTCTTGCTGATACAGCTGCAGTGCATTAGATGAATGCGAGTCAATCTAAAATGAAACAAAAATCAACAACTCGTTCTAGAATATGACACCTTATTCATTAACCTGGTTTTCTTCTTTACATATAATACTGGAATGAATGGTTTGATCAAAGAGCGCTTGTTCGAATTGGCCTTCACTTTCCATTCCCAAAAAATGTTCCCCTTTTATACTCACTGTATTTAGTTGGTCATTTGGCAAACACGTCTCTGCAAAATTGAAAATCAACAGTAATAATAAGAATAAAATAAAATACTTATATCATACCAGATTTAACACAGATATTTTCAATGTGGGATTGCAAATGTGCGCCTTCAGGAACAGATCCAATACAGTGCTGTAATATTTCTGAATCTATGTTGTGGCCATCGGCTGCTTCACACATGTCCAAAGGATCATGTTGCCCTGTAACAATTTGATTGTGGTGAAGATCGCGCCTGCATTTGCTGTAATTGCGAGCGGACATAATTCCGGATGTCTGCTTGAATAAGCCTTCCCTGTCCGTGCATATTGGACAGGATGGTGGATGTGAAAAATATGTCTATCGTTTATTTTGGGTAGTACCACCCTGAGATTATTTATCTCATTCGGTTTATTATCTCTTTCTCCCAAGGAAAAGAGCATTAAGTCAAATTACGATAAAGATACGTATATACCTTACGGCTAGAAGGGTCGAAAAAGAATTATAGGAAAAATGAAAAAAACTATAGATAGATCTTCCGAACAGCACATCAGCAAGAATTTTCATAATTTATAACTGTTCGAAGTTCCTTAGTTTCAATTGTATTAAAACAGATATTCCACACAGAAAAATGTAAAAACTGTTTTTTAATGTTATCGAATTATTTTTCAGTAGACAAGTAAACCTTTTTTTCAGATGAACAATTTACTTTAGTTAACTGTTACTGTACTTACCTTCAATATAAACATGCTGCAAGTTAAGCTCTTCTACTTGCCCATTTTCAGTTAAGATTTTCTCACTGCAATCAGATTGTCCGGGAACTAAAAAATATTCCTGCGCCCTTTCCGTAGACTGACTTTGATCAGTTTGCTCAATTTCACCGGACTGTGATTGCAGCAATTGATCCTCATCTGGAAGAAGTGTGACAGTTTCTGGAATAGGTTCTAACTGTCCATCTGATGTTGCTCTAATCCGACAATAACAACATTATATTCAATTTTAACCAATATATTCCAGTTCATTCAAGATCCTACTCAGCTTAAATACAATATTTATTTATTTAATTTACAAACCTAAATTTGAATTGGTATTTGCGAATATTTCCGGTCTCGTCACAGGTCATTTGAATCCCATACAAATCATCCGAGCCATCCATAGTGAAAACAACGACTTCTGCATTATCATCAGGATCATTTTGCTGAATTTGTTCTGTACAATTTTTTTCGACAGGATTATCATTTGTAATCCCAATTGATTCATCTTCATGCTCTGGAATTGAAACATTTCATAATAATAAAATTAGCTAATTCAGATATAGACATTTATATTACAGTAATAAATAGTAACTCTTACCAACGGTTAAATGTAAGTCTTCTAATGAAATCCCATTAGTATTGGAAGCCTCTAGAATAGATAAGTATTGAGTTTCATTGGAATCGATAGCAGTCACATAGTTTTCATTAATAGTTGAATCGTTTGCATCGAAATAATGCAAAGTCGATTGGTCGTTTGACTCATCGTTCCAGAGAATTGTGCCATCTGGAATTATTATTGCCTGGTCTCCAGAGTAAACATAGTGTTTGGACATCTGAGAATGAAGAAAATACTAATAGATAACGGATTTTTTTCATAAGTATTCCATATAAGTGGTCTAACAATAATAACCATACATATATATACATAATATCATTAAAGTCCGCATGTGAAGATTTACACGACGAGGCTGTAGGCCGAGTCGTGAAATCCTACATACAGACTACATCCATATACATAATACAGACTACATACATACATAATCCTACAGTATCCTACGTGTAACGTACAATATTTTATATACAACTATAACAAATATTATTTTAATGATGATTTTAGTAAAAATAATAAGTTATAACATTGAATACAGAACACCGGTAATGAAAATTTGCCATTGTCAGAATCATTATCAAAGTTGTCTTTTAAAATAACACATTTTATAATGACTTCAAGCGATGATCTGCCATCTCATATTGAGGACTATTACTATATTTGAACAAAGTAAGCAAAAGAGATAAATACCCTTTGGTTCTCGATGTTCTTTGTGTTCGTTCTCAATATCAGATGGCAGATCATCGCTTGAACTTATTTTAAAATGTGCAATTTTAAGACACAACTTTGACAATGATCGACCCTGAATTTGGGAAAAAGCACTAGTGCGGTAATAAACATTATTATGACATTTGAAATAGTGCCAAATCATAGTCATTATATAACAGTTGTAGATAAAAGCTTTTAATAATGACATATCAAAATTAATTCCTGGGTTTCAGTCATTTATTGTCTTTATTTATCAATTAAAATACGTTTCGGTGTATTTTTCCACCATCATCAGTTTTTATAAAATAACATAGTTAAAAAAAAATCATTAATTTAAAAAACAATCACAGTTCGTCAACAGCCTCATCATATCACACATTAAAATACATTTAAAGCAGCAACAACGCTACACGTGTAAGTAAAAATATTTAAGTATCTGAACAAAGAATTCTAGTCTCTTGACTCCCAAATTTGATTGTCCTGACTAATCACCTGTTAGGCCTAATTAATTTTAGAATGTTTTAAAGTGTTGCAATTGTGATGTATTTTAATGTGTGATATGATGAGGCTGTTGACGAACTGTGATTGTTTTTTAAATTAATGAAATTTTGTTTTAACTATGTTATTTTAGAAAAACTGATGATGGTGGAAAAATACACCGAAACGTATTTTAATTGATAAATAAAGACAATAAATGACTGAAACCCAGGAATTAATTTTGATTTGGAATTGAAACACAGTCAGGAAAGTATATACAATGAATAATGACATATTATTAGTAAGTTGATGGAATGGATGATTTACATTTCAATATGAAGCAGAAAGATCGTATAGCATGAACAGAATGAGCAAATGTCGAGGAATAATGATGAAATGTGAAACATCAAATCAAAATATTATTTTCATTTCGATCTACCGAGTTTAGAGCGTTAGGTTAAACAAATACATCTATTTTATTTAATTCTTTTGAGTGAAACAGACAATGGTAAAAATTCAGTACAGACAGTAATAAGAATCTACACCACCAAATCGGTAAACAATTTGATATGTAAGAATAGTAGCCACAATAAAATAGCAAGAAAACGGTTGCAAAGCTCATTTTATGCGTAATACTTGTTTGGTTTATATTAAATTGCGTGCAAATATTGCTTCGATAAAATGGCGTTTAAATTAAGTTACAAAATGAATGACGATTCAAAGATTCAACTTTTTTTTAAACGCGACGTTGAAAAGCTGTTCAACCGGGTCGCCAATATGATCACTCCTGTTTCTAATACATACATTAACGTTAAGGACTACAATGAGATAATTAGTAATTTAAATTAAAATAACGGTTGCATTGTATGCCAGCCTTCTACTATGCATTAAACTGCTAGGAAACACAAGTTTACAAATATAATACATGAATAAATATGTATTAGAAATATCAGTATTTTTGTGTCCAGTAGAAGTTTGTAATTACAATCACTGGGTGATAAATCGGGGTATACCGACGGACAATGGCAAAACATGATTTGGCTCTCTGCTTTTCGAGGGCGCTGCTCTTTCCTAAGGAGCATGACAAAAATTTAAGATGGAGAAACGCAAAAAAAGCATTTTGTACACAGTATTACGAATATTCGAAGCAAAAATACATGCTACAAGTTGCTAACACTTTGCCACGAAAATGCAGGGGTGTTATGTGTTATATTATAGAAAGGTGCTGAATTTCCATGAGTAAAAACTGATCAAAAACCGCATTTCCACAAGAAAAACCACTAAAGAAGTAGTGAGTTATAGTATTATCTATAAGGTATATGTATATTGTTAACTCCGCGTGTGCCTGATGAACTATAAAATAACCAAACGATTATTATTGTTACTAGAGTTGTTGCTAGAAACACATTGCCTTCTGTTGTACAGAAAGAAACGAAGGAATTTTTTGAACGCAGCATTCACTGGACTGGATCACTGGATATTCTTAAGTAATTGGTGTACTTCTAGTAACCTCAAAAATAATATGTAGTTGGTTTTGCAAATGTTTCCCTCCAAATGCATTATTTTCCAGCAAAGCATGATGATCAATATGAAAAGCTTGTATGGGATATGAATGTGAATTTCTGTTAGTTACTGGACAATGTAATTACAAATTATGTAAAGCCTCTTACCTTTTAAACCACGCTTCCACTAATTAAGCGCAGGAATTATTATCAATATCAAAGAGTATATATAGTAATTTTACAAGTCACTACTGAGTAGAGCGATCACTTTCATATTCAGGTACACAGTGTCTATTAATTTTCATTATTTAAACTAAAACGCATTAAATAGAAAATCCGCACTTTTACCGATAAATAAATGCGAAAAACTGGAAACAGAGTCACGGAGAAAAGCGAACACAGTTCTCTTTAAATACTTTCATCTCAGTTCCATTTGAAAATAAACGTTTAAACTTTTTACTGTTTTCATAAGGCCTTGTTGAATCAGCTAGAATCTTCAGAAGGATTGATATCTTTTATCTTAGTTTACTGCTGACTGCTACATAATTGCTGACAACTATTGACACCACAGATCACAGAGGTTATAGATTGGAAACTGCAATATACGCCTGCAGAATGCTATTTGTCGCTTATCTCAGCGGCTGCAATGAAAACTAAACTCTAATTTCCACTACTGGCAGAAGAAATCTTCTTTATCGATTGGGTTTACATCAAAATTTAGCGGGGTATTTGACTTCAGTTTATGACCTCTGTGATTTCCGTTGGTTTCAATAACATTTCAAGCATTTCATCATACTCCTTAATTGTGATGTTTATGCTAGGGCTTCAATTAACATCACCATTAAAGGGCAATATGATATACTTGAAATATTATTGAAACTTCAACGGAAATCACAGAGTTCGTAAAGTGAATACAAATCGCCTGCTAAAATTGTGTTCGTGTGAAAACTAGGGCAAATCGGGAAAATAAAGCACATGAATTTATCTCTACAATAGGTATTT